ACAAGTAAAAATGTGAAGGTATTTTTTTTTTTTTTTTGAGAGAGAGAGGGAGCTCCTGTGCACATGTGCAGGTGATGGGGGAGGGACAAAGGAAGAGGGAAAGAGAATCTTAAGCAGGCTTCATGGTGGGGCTCCATCTCACCACCCTGAGATCTTGATGGGAGCTGAAATAAAGAGTCAGTTGCTTAACCAACTGAGCCAGTCACGTGCCCCTGTAAAAGTATTTTTACATGTTCTCCTTAGTTTTCTGTTTATTTCATTATAAATAAAAGCTACATTTTGACAAGCAACTAAAATTTTTTTTTTCAGAATATGTTTTATGGTTTTGCCTTCAGATCATGTAATGTGATCATTATCTTGGTACCCCACTCCTAGAAAATTTTTAACAATCATACAAAAAGAAAATAAAAAGAAATAGGTGGAAACCTTACATTCTAAGCATGTTAGTTTACAGGTGTAATTGATTTATATTCTCATCTCTTAGTTTACAATTGTTATCACAGAAGGAAGAATTCCAACAACCCCTTTATCTTGTGAAACATAGGTAAGAATAGTAGTAGATTAAACTCATCACTAGTGAATTCTATTCTACAGTGCTTTTTACATTTATTCTTGGTTTCAAGCCCTAGTGGATATGCAAATACATTAATAAAACATCCCAAGTCCAAATGTGAAAAGTCTAAGGAAGCAAGAGACATTGGGACTTTTCTGAAATTATTTTTAAAGATTTTGGATTCAGAAAAAAGAGCCTGAAGGGACCAAAAATTCCATAAACTTCAATGAATTAATTTACTAGTAAGGAAACTGACCCATGGAGAGGTTAACTAAAGTAACAGCATTTAGAGCAAATAAGGAGTTAAGAGTGAGAATAGAAGTTTAGCTTATTGGTGTGTAGCTTTGTTACTTTTGGCAAAGTCAACTAGTATTATTCAATCTTGGTAAATTACTCAATACTCCTCAGTTTCAGTTTCCACATCTATAAAATAGAATAACAATATCAAAATCACTATACATAAGTTTTCAGTAGTTCCCTCTAGAATAAAAAGCATGGATAAGAGAAGGCTAAAGATGGGCTTCCTATATATAATTTTGTGTTTCTTAAATAAAAAAGAATTTCTTTTTAAAAATTAAAAATCAAAACTGAATACTTTTAAAATTATTGTGCAGAATAAATAATGAAAATATCTTTAATTAATGTTGGTTATGTTTTCTACTCTTCCATCTTAAATATGTAGTGCATGTATGGAAACATCTGGAAATTTGTTGACACTTGGGGGAAATAGATAATAAACTGATAATTCTATTTTTAATCTTAATGATTCTGTGATGTGTACATCTAACTTTTGTCACTTGAGAGATGAACCTGTTTGAGGAAGAATAAGAAAATATGAACACTTAATGATACAACTGAAATCCTTCTGGCCACAGCCCAGAATAAAAATTACAGCCCTGAGCAAATATTATCAATTCTAATCATCATCTGGAGTATCCTTTATTTCAGGCTCCTGAGATCATCTGTTATGAGAGGCAAAGCAATTGAAGTAGTTCACCTGAGCTCAAATAGATATAGTAGAATCCTTTTAAAAAGAGTTCATGCCTAAGAAATGTTCCCCTAAGGCATTAGAAATGTTTAGATCGCATACACATTGCCATATTTTTTTTATTTCCTACCAAGAAATTTACTGTTATACTTGAAGAGTTAGGCTTGGAGGGATAGATATGCTATTCCAGACTGCTTTATTTCTCTGAAATACATTTATTAAGAAAATAATTTTTTAAGAAAATTTTTTTTGGCTCATTGATGAGGGTGCATTTTCAACTGAACTACGTGTGTGTCCATATTCTTTGCTTGCAATTTTGCATTGAATATCTTCATATAGGTAATATTACCTTAATAATTTCTTCTGAGATTTGGTTGCTCATCTGGCCCTACCACATGCCCTTTCTTAGAGTGCAGAGATAATAAACTATTTGAGGAGGGTAAAACTGAGAAAAAAATGGTAACATACCAAAATAGGAAAATCCTGATTGTAAATTTTCTAATGTGATGGGTGCTTTGAGAGGCAAGAAGCAATCAGGGGACAGAGATATAAAGTTTAATGGGTGGGGGAGGGATGAAATCTGAATATCAATTGCTTGTTATCTTACCTGTTCCTTTAAAATCAACTGAAATATGTTCTTTGGGTCTCTTCGCATAAAGTATTTATTCAGCAAGTTGAATAAACAAGTAACCAATTAAGTTTAATAGTGTGATTTTAGATGATTACCATCAATATTTTTCTTTCTAAACAGGGAACATTTTTCTGTCTCCTTCAGAGCCTTGCCTACCCCTATCAATCACAGACACTGCATGAGGCTGCCTTCTTTCACAGGGTGGTTTCTGGGGCCAAGAAGTTTCAGACCTGAGTCCTATTACAAAGATTCAGAAATATCCTTCCCTTCAGCTTAACTCCTCTTGCACATCTGCATTTCTCAACAGCATAGCAGCTTTTCTGTGAAATGGTTTCAGAATAAGCTCTTCCTCTTTCTACATGTGGTAATGGGTTAAATGATATAAGAACCGAATTGTTTTAGAAGTGTAAAAGGTTGTCTGAAAAAGGCCTCTCTCTCTCTCACACACACACACACACACACACAACCAAACTGAACCTTCATCCATGCCCTCCCACTGAATTTCACCAGAAGAGAACACATTTGATTACATGAAAATATTATATAGATATGAAAACTGCCCCCCCCCAAGAATTAACTTCTGGACCCAGGGAAAAAAAAAAATCCCTCTATACTTCCCTGAATTTCCTCATCCCTAGTCCTTCCTGGAATTCTTTAACTCTCTAGTTTTTTCAAAATGCACACATCCTTGAATATTGGATCTTTTACTCAGATTATTAGCAGGCATATTAACAGCTGTCCAACTGTGTAAGACGTAATTAAAAGGGAAACTGATGTAAAAATATTTCTGCTTCTACTGAAGAAAGGAAATTAATAATAATATAATAATATCCTATAAATTCAAACCCTAAAATCATACACACAATTTTTAGACTATATTGATGGAAAACGTGTCAACTCTGTTAAGAAAAGTCAGCAGAACAGCTGACTTTTCCAACAAGCAGCATTCTCATATTCCCTCCCTTCTCAGATCTTTTTAGAACTTGGTTTTTATAAGCTCCATCTAAGTTCGAGGAACCAGATGATTCCCTCTCTGGGAAAAGCCCTAACTGGGTATTCCACCAGCACCAGTGACCCGGAGAAGAGAAACTGCCCACTACCTGCAGATAACATTCATATAGGGCCTTAGAAACCAGCGGTTTCTCTTTCCCTCTCTCTCTCTCTCACTCTCTCTCAAAATGCAACTGGTTATTTACTTGTAAGTGTTCTAAATTCGTCCATATGGATTTGGAAACTTTGTGTATATGAGTGTGTGTGTGTGTGTGAGTGTGTGTGTGTGAGTGTGTGTGTGTGGTGCGAGTGCCAGTCTGCGAGTGGATATTTAAGAGCACTCACGAATCATACTGGGATTTTTTTTCCTGCTCCCTCCCTCCTTTTCCGGTTCTCAGTGAAAGATTTCGGGTCTGGAATCAAAGACGCAAGCATGCATTGTATTTTCACCCCTCAGACTTAAATAACATTCAAGAAATATCAGAGAAACCTAACTCTCAACGACCAAATTGACTAAAATTCTATACCAAGTTTAAAAAAGAAAAAGTATGTGCCTAAATTATATACCATGAAACAAAAAATTCAACCCAGTTATATTATTTAAAATATATATATGATATGACTATATGTTCCACATAACCACTTTCAACATGCCAAAAAAAATTTTCAAAGACATCAAATATCATAAAACATTGTACTGCAGAGACGGAAGAAATGCATTTAAAGCACCGATGAAAATGGCGTGCAGTATAATTACCTCAAATTGCTGTTCGCTTGACACCCTGACACTAATTTTATTCAAGCCATTGGGAAATAAATGTTTTAAAAGCACTCCTTTCCAAACGCTGGAGGTAGTGGGGGCTGTGAGGTCGTTAAGGAAAGGAAAGGGTAAAGTTTTCAGCACGCAAAAAGAATTAAATAATCCATTTAAAATAAGCATCTATGTGGATCGACAGCCTTTAATGCCCACATTTTTAACGCTTGCCCTGTACGTGGATTGATTTTTTTTTTCTTCAGCATTCCCTCACCAGATGGATTTTTGCTACTGCAGATCAGTAGAGGGTGTCAGATCTTTCAGAGTGCACCAGGCTGGAACAAGCAGAGCTTCTTAGCAACTCTCTTCTACCCCCCTCCCCATTCTCGCGCTCTCTCCCTCCCTCAGACAACTCGCCCCCCGCCCTCCGCCCCCTCCACGTAATTCCGAAAGAGCAGAATAAAGAGGAGAAAAAGAAAAGAAGAGCTAGTAACCGAGAGCCGGAGCCCAGAAAAAAAGCTGAAGAGGACCGAAGGGAAGGAAAGGAAAAGGATGGACAGCTACAAAACGCAGCGATTGCGGAAATTTTCCAGCGCCATTGGCTCGGCAGCGTGAGTTCTTCGGTCGGGCGTGATTTCAGCACCGGGGGGACTGGACAGCACCTCGGGGGGACTTCTGGGCGACCTGCAGCCACAGCAAGAACTCCATCAGCCGCCTCAGCTACAGAAGCCGCCGAAAACCCTGCTTTGTATCAGAGAGGCAAGGTCAGTCCGACGCACAGCCATGCACAGGCAGTGCGCCTGTACTACGCTGCAAACCCTCTGCTTGTTTCTCTAACATGCACTTGCTTCTAATTACTAGCATTGTTCCTTTCCTGATTAGTGAGGACCACTAGACCAGGTTCTGTAAGGTGCATTTTTAATTTATATGTATATATTTAACTTCTTTTGGTAATTTTTAAAGGGTTGAGGGGGAGTAGGATTATTTTTTCTACTTTTTCTTTTCTTTCTCTTTCTTCTTTTCTTCCTTTCTTTTTCTTTCTCCCCTCCCCCCCTTTCTTTCTTTCTTTCTTTCTTTTTTTTTTTTTTTCTTTTGCTTGCCTTGCACTACGTGCCTGGATAGTCTGTGGATATAATTCTTGACTGGCGCCTGGGTTGTTGCAGTGCGGGGGGGTTAGGGAGGAAGGAATCCACCCCCACCCCCCCAAACCCTTTTCTTCTCCTTCCCTGGGTTCGGACATTGGAGCACTAAATGAACTTGAATTGTGTCTGTGGCGAGCAGGATGGTCGCTGTTACTTTGTGATGAGATCGGGGATGAATTGCTCGCTTTAAAAATGCTGCTTTGGATTCTGTTGCTGGAGACGTCTCTTTGTTTTGCCGCTGGAAACGTTACAGGGGACGTTTGTAAAGAGAAGATCTGTTCCTGCAATGAGATAGAAGGGGACCTACACGTAGACTGTGAAAAAAAGGGCTTTACAAGTCTGCAGCGTTTCACTGCCCCGACTTCCCAGTTTTACCATCTATTTCTGCATGGTAATTCCCTCACTCGACTTTTCCCTAATGAGTTTGCTAACTTTTATAATGCAGTTAGTTTGCACATGGAAAACAATGGCTTGCATGAAATCGTTCCTGGGGCTTTTCTGGGGCTGCAGCTGGTGAAAAGGCTGCACATCAACAACAACAAGATCAAGTCTTTTCGAAAGCAGACTTTTCTGGGGCTGGACGATCTGGAATACCTCCAGGCTGATTTTAATTTATTACGGGATATAGACCCCGGGGCCTTCCAGGACTTGAACAAGCTGGAGGTACTCATTTTAAATGACAATCTCATCAGCACCCTACCTGCCAACGTGTTCCAGTATGTGCCCATCACCCACCTCGACCTCCGGGGAAACAGGCTGAAAACGCTGCCCTATGAGGAAGTCTTGGAGCAAATCCCTGGCATTGCTGAGATTCTGCTAGAGGATAACCCGTGGGACTGCACCTGTGATCTCCTCTCCCTGAAAGAATGGCTGGAAAATATTCCCAAAAATGCTCTGATCGGCCGAGTTGTCTGTGAAGCCCCCACCAGACTGCAGGGGAAAGACCTCAATGAAACCACAGAACAGGACTTGTGTCCTTTGAAAAACCGAGTGGATTCCAGTCTCCCAGCGCCCCCTGCCCAAGAAGAGACCTTCGCTCCTGGCCCCCTGCCAACTCCTTTCAAGACAAATGGGCAAGAGGATCATGCCACCCCAGGGTCTGCTCCAAACGGAGGTACAAAGATCCCAGGCAACTGGCAGATCAAAATAAGACCCACTGCTGCGATAGCGACCGGCAGCGCCAGAAACAAGCCCCCAGCCAATGGCTTGCCCTGCCCTGGGGGCTGCAGCTGCGACCACATCCCGGGGTCGGGTTTAAAGATAAACTGCAACAACCGGAACGTGAGCAGTTTGGCTGATTTGAAGCCCAAACTCTCCAACGTGCAGGAGCTTTTCCTTCGAGATAATAAGATCCATAGCATCCGAAAATCGCACTTTGTGGATTACAAGAATCTCATTCTGTTAGATCTGGGCAACAATAACATTGCTACCGTAGAGAACAACACTTTTAAGAACCTTTTGGACCTCAGGTGGCTGTATATGGATAGCAACTACCTGGACACACTGTCCCGGGAGAAATTCGCCGGGCTGCAAAACCTCGAGTACCTGAACGTGGAGTACAATGCAATCCAGCTCATCCTTCCTGGCACTTTCAATGCCATGCCCAAACTGAGGATCCTCATTCTCAATAACAACTTGCTGAGGTCCCTACCCGTGGACGTGTTCGCTGGGGTCTCGCTCTCTAAGCTCAGCCTGCACAACAATTACTTCATGTACCTTCCGGTGGCAGGGGTGCTGGACCAGTTAACCTCCATCATCCAGATAGACCTGCACGGAAACCCTTGGGAGTGCTCCTGCACCATTGTGCCTTTTAAGCAATGGGCAGAACGCCTGGGTTCCGAAGTGCTGATGAGCGACCTCAAGTGTGAGACGCCGGTGAACTTCTTTAGGAAGGATTTCATGCTCCTCTCCAATGACGAGATCTGCCCCCAGCTGTACGCGAGGATCTCGCCCACGTTAACTTCGCACAGTAAAAACAGCACTGGGTTGGCGGAGACCGGGACGCACTCCAACTCTTATCTAGACACCAGCAGGGTGTCCATCTCCGTGTTGGTCCCGGGACTGCTGCTGGTGTTTGTCACCTCCGCCTTCACTGTAGTGGGCATGCTCGTGTTTATCCTGAGGAATAGAAAACGATCTAAGAGAAGGGACGCCAACTCCTCGGCGTCCGAAATTAATTCCCTACAGACAGTCTGTGACTCTTCCTACTGGCACAATGGGCCTTACAACGCAGATGGGGCCCACAGAGTATATGACTGTGGCTCCCACTCGCTCTCAGACTAAGAACCCAACCAGGGTAGAGCGGGGGAGCAGGAAGGCGATGCTCCCACCACCCTGTCCCCACCCCCGCTGTCATCCCAGGGGTCAGAGGAGCCCAGACCCAAGTCCAGCGCGCCCCAAGGCTTTATGGACATAAGTAAATAAATAGCTATGAACTCGCTCCAGTGAGAGGGTTTGACCCCTTAGCTCCCTCCTGGAAACAAAGAGCAGACTGTGGCGAGCTGGGAGAGCGCTGCCAAATCGCTCTTTGCAGCGAGCTCCTTTTGATAAAACCCGGCAGGGGCCCTGCTCAAAGAACTAGCCCTCTGCGGTGGAGCTGATGGGGATGGCTGCCGCGGTCCTATACGTATATACATATACCCACATCTATATAGAGAGATAGATATCTATTTTTCCCCTGTGGATTGGCCCCGTGAGGAGGGGGGCGTGATGGCTCCCTGTTGGCTATGCAGGGATGGGCAGTTGCACGAAGGCATGAATGTATTGTAAATAAATAACTTTGACTTCTGACAAAAACAAAAAGTGCTGCATGGCTCGCATGGAAACCACGCGCTCCAGGGACGCTGCCCTCCTTGGCGACTGGAGCCGGCGTCACGTTCACAGCACCCATCCTCTTACCTGATAAGTCCCATCGTATCAAACTTTCTATAAACAAAACACAGTATAATCATAAAGTGCCATTTCGCCATTATTTGTGATCGGTAGGCAGTTCAGAGCGTACGTACGTTTACTGTGAAAAAAAAAATGTAAAGGTTTTATTTAAGACATTTGCATGGCTAATCATCAGTCCATTTTATGAGTTAAAAATGTATTTTGTTGAGCGACGTTTTTATGGGTTGTTTTGGGTTCTTTCTTTTATTTTGATGGTGATGTTTTACTTTTTTTTTTTTTTGAGGGGGAATATTTTTCTATACATATCCAATAATGCCTTCCATCTGAATGTAAAATAAGTACCCATGATTTCTATTATAGTATCAGTGTAATTATTAAAAAAAAAAAAAGATTTTGAGGCAGTTAAGCATGACCAATTAATGTCATTCTAGTGCTTAGGCTGCGATCTTATGGTAGCAATTCTGTGCTGGTGTAAATCTTACTTATACAGTAGGAAAAAAGAACCGAGGAAGCACGTGAAACTTACTAATTCTATTCGAGGATTTTATAATGGCATATTTTTTCAGTATTAAAGTGAAAATGTTTTCAACTCTGGGTCCTTACATTTTTCCAGCTTCATGTTTGCAATTGGTAAATTGGATTTGCGGTGGAAGGGACGGGGGAGGGGGGCGGGTGGGGGTGGATCCTTTCTAGAGCCCTATCTAGGCTCTCTCTCTAATAGTTTTACTTAGCTTTTTATCCTTTACGTAGCTGCCCTCCTCCATCCCCACCCGGGCTTTTCCAGCTTTCCCCTGTCCATAAAGTAAGGTCTTCCCCAACACACCCTCACCCAGCCCCTTTTTTCCCTCTCCTTATGCGGCAGTGAATCCCTTTATTAATACTGGAAATCCCTCGCTGCTGCTTCTGCTGGTGCTGCACACACTGCAGATATATTAAGGATGATAGTAGAGATTTGATTTAATTGACTCTGCCTAGATCGGTCTCATTAAACAGAGTGGAGATTTCATTGGTCAGCACTCTTCGATGAAAGACAGCCCTAATGACTGGCATTTGAGATGCTGCTGGCGTTTTGAATTCAACATCTGCTGAAAACGGTAAAACTAATTAGTGCCCACCCACCCTCCCCGCCCCAACAACTGCATACTGGAATTTGTTAAAGCACTCATCTTTATGGAAATCAATCATTATCCTAAAGAAGTGTTTCTTTCCCATCATTAGTATTTCTGGTTGTGGCCTAGTAATTAACAAGAAATGCATCGAACTGTTTGAATTTTATGAGCCAGTGTAACCTGGCTTCAATCATATTCCTCTGGGATTTCTAAGCAGTCTATTTTATTAGCAGTTAAGGAACAAAAAGCAAGCAAAACTACACATATTGATGGGGGTCTGCATTCCACCACATATCCACCCTGGAGAAGTATGTTAAAAGACTGCAGATCACAGATTGTTTTTAAATTTTATATATATATATAAGCTAATGAAAGCCCCCAGAGCAGTAGTAGTAAGATTTGCCTTCTAGAACTCATATTTTAAAGTGAAGTAATTTCCCAGAACACTGATGTTCTGGAGTATGTATTATTTATTTTAACAGTTTTTAAATAAAATCTTTATTATAAACTGTGGCTAGAGTTAAGGCCATTCATCATTTTCTCTCTTGATTCTTTTATTTGTGGAGTGCATTTCATAGTGATAAAATTGGAACTTACTATCCGCTGACAAATATTATGGGCTGTTTATTTATTTATTTTTCTTACAAAGGCCTTAATTCTTTTTTTTTTTGGAAAATACAACCGGGTTCCCTGTAAGCAATCAACAGATTTACTTGTAATGGAAAAGTTGGAGGAGGAGAAGAGTCATATTGAACAATGTTATAACCTTAAGAAGGAAAAGAAAAGATGGTAGATATTCTACATCTTTGGTGAGATATCTAGTGAGGCATAATAGTAATTTTTAAAACTAATAACATGATTAGTCTAAGTCAGGAAACTAGAACTTCTCCTAGAAGACATTCTTTAGGGCAAGAAGTTTTCTTCATACTAATTAAAAATAAATTATGATATAGAGGACAAAGTTTAAAGAGTAAACTTATTTTTCAAATACTAGCTTTAACAGCTTTTAGTGGTTATCATGTGTCAGGCATGGGCTAAATAGTTTACATAATTATTTAATTTAACTCTTACAAATACAGAATACTTTAATATAATATTGCTATTGCTATTATACGGATGAGAAAAAAAATTGAGGCTTAAGGAAATACGCAATAACTCAAATCATAGCTGGTAGATACTGGAGCGATATTTAAACCCAATTTCCCTCATACTATAAAACCTCATTGTTTGAATGGCGTGATCATATATATTAACAGGATAAACTCTTAAAGAAGAGTATCCTTAAAAATATATATATAGCTGTAAAAATACTTTATAACAAATCAAAAACCCAAGTTGTATCTTCTTAATTGAGTACGTATTGGTAGCCCTTTATATTTCCAATATGTCTTCAGCAAAAGAAAATTGCCCTACATTTAAAGGGGATAACTTTAGTGTGTTCTCCAAGAATGTATAAAAAGGCAACATATAAGAAAAAAGAAGAATTGCTATATGCATTTATGAATTATAGATGTTCAAATCATTAAGTTATCTATTGATTCTAAAATATTAGAATTATCAAATATTTTAATAAACACTAATATATGTTTAAAAATCCATGTAGAAAACATAAGCAATGCTTTAATGTAAAAGAGCATCCATTATTAGAGAATTTTTTAATTTTGATAAAGAATCTCTGTCACAATTATATATATATATACATATATATAAACTAATATATAGCTATATATATTAGTTTGCTTTAAAGTAATATATATTATGTATTAGTTTAGTTTACAGGATACATACTATATATATGGTCTTAGCACATAACTTTCATTTAGAAGTGCCTAGCTTATTTTTGTTGTCTTTATGTGAAATGTTCACATACCTGTAGCTGCCACGTGCACTAGTTGAGGTATCTTGTTTCTAGTTAAATCATATTTAATTCATCAAAGTAAAAGAGATTTTAGTTGTACCAGATGGAAAAGGAGGAAAAAAGGAAATATCTTGTTCAGTTCCATTGCTTTGAAGAAACTAGTAGCTTCTGTGGTTGCTGCTGTAACTAAGAATATCCTAGAATTTAAGTTGTTGCCATAGAAATTTATTGTTTAACCATTTTCACATGTTTACCCAGGAGGAAGCTGGAATGGCTGATCTAATATTAACATAACAGGATTCTTTTTCTTAACAGTATTTCTATCAGATGTAATTAAAATTGTCAGGTATTTTAATAAGTGTTAAAAATTATATTGGTGATTCCAAGGACAGTTTGTTAATTTAGCTTTTTCCAGGTTGATAATAAATGTTATTTGGTATGTACAAAGAGGTGGATAAATGTGCAAGGGTGGATACTGGAAGGGTGCGTTTTTAATGTGTTGGTAGAATATTAAGAATATTGGTTTCTAATTCAGCTCTTTTGCTAGCTAATTTATAAATATTTTTTAATCTGTAAGCTTATTTGGAGAAAAATGGAAATATAAAATGTGCTAAAGATTTAATCTTAGCACACATTATTCAGGTGCAACATATTATTTAATTTTTAAAAGATGAACTAACTCTGTATGGTATCAGTAGATATAATAAACACATACTCAAGATTTTTAACTTATCTGCTTTGCTTCAATGTGGCGCTGAACTATAAAAAAAAAAGGCTAAAATTAAATTTTTCATATAATTGCCTGGCATTTTCTTTTAGCTATTTCTTTTATTTATTTCCTTTATCACCAAAAATATTATTAGTATAAAAAGTAATATACAGGACATGCAGGACTTTCTTCTTGGTATCAAAACTTAAAGATATGCCAATAAATAGTTCCATGAAAACACATGTTACAGAGCAATCCTGAAACCTGAACCAATATTGACTCTACTATGACCAATCAAAATTTGATGGGGTTTCAAAAAAAAATTGAATAGTTAAGATAATTATAGATTAAGTATTTAAGAACTACAATTGTATAATGAAATGAACCACTGAAAAAAATCATCTTAGATTATTGAAGTTCAATATAACCCTTTGGCCTCAATTGACTGGCAATTTCAGTATATTGGCTTAGGCCTCAATCATCTAATTAGTTACTCTCTTTCTTCCATTTATTTGTTAAATATATGCTATATTATGTACTTGAAATATAATTTTATTTCCAACTTGAACTTTGCACAAAGTTTACAAGAGGAAAATTATCTAATAGTTTAAAGAATTTTGAATGAGTTAGAACCTAAATATTCAATTGACAACATTAATTGGGCACTTGTTATGTGAAAAATACTGCAGAAGCTCTTTTAGAAAAAGAGAATAAGGCATTTCTAACCTAAGGAGTTTACAACCTACAGAACTGAGATATATCCATCCTTGTAATTTTAGAATAGTACATCATTTGCAATTATTAAAGAATACCATTAGAAAAGTTTTTGTTTCTTTTTTGGAGTAGTTTAAGTTTTTAGCCATTTGGAAAAGTGCAATGGTCACATCAGTTTTATTAGATGTTACATGAATAGTTTAAAAGCTTAAAACAATATTTTTAAATGAAAGAGGAACTTTAAGTACTTTGCTAGATTTATTTCTTTTTCTGTAAAATGGGAGTAATGTCTGCAATTTTGTAACTTCAGTTAAGTTTTTTAACTAATCATTCCGAAAAGAGACAATCAAGCCAATGTTTACCTTGAGTGAATGATAATTTTTCAATTTTAATTATTTGAGAAATCAAATCAGTTTGGGAAATTGAATAAAATACTTTATGATATCATAAGAATTTCAGAATAGTTATCTTTGGTTACTTGGCTTTGATTTGTGTTTATATACATAAAATACATTACAGTAACTTTAATGTAATATTAAATATACTTTTATAATTTTACTGTAAAGCTAATAATCCCATAGCCATTTGCTCTTTAGTGAAACCTGATATTCAGTTACTTAGTAGTATGGTCCAAATGTTTAACATGCAGAAAGCAGTAAGCAAAAATCATACATTTATTCACTTCTATGCCTTATTCCCTTTGCCTCTAATTCCATTTCTTTTCTTGGCAGAAGAATACAGGAAGGAAACATGTTCAGCTGCAGCATATCGATAGAAAAAGTCAAAATATAGTGAAAAATGAGAAGTGCCTCAAATATAGGTGATAAATGGCTAATCCATACTGCTATCAGAGAAGCAGTCTCTGCCTCCCAGGAAAGGGAGATGAGTGTAAGGGGCCACTGTTACCATAAACAGTAATGGCTCTTACCAGATTCTGTGATACTTATTG